TCCTACATGAAATAAGAAAACGGAAGGCTAATTGGATTGGTCATGTTTTACGCAGAAACTGCCTTCTAAAAGAAGCTATCGAAGGAAAGATAGATGGGCGGATAGAAGTGACAAGAAGACGAGGAAGAAGACGTAAGAAGATGCTGGATGACCTTGGGGACAGAAGAGGATACTGTCATTTGAAGGAGAAAGCTCTAGATCGCATTAAGTGGAGGAAATGTTTTGGAAGAGACTGTGGACCTGTCGTCTTGACAGATTACTGATGATGATGATGATGATGATGTAAGCTACTCAGATAGAAGATGGTTAATCCTGAAATCTTGTGATGACGTCCAGAAATGCAATACAACATTCAGGATATGCAAGTCTGCAATCTTCCCCATTTCTTCCGCGATCTTCAGCAATATTAAAATCTGGCGGTAATTTCTCGTCCAAAGAAGAAGACGGGCTGAAATGAATACAAAAATGTAAACTTTGTTAAACAGGCCTCATTAGATATCTGTTTGATAAAATACCACAAACAAACAACACACCAAGAATAATACAACAATTATGCTTATGACGCGTCGCTTGCCAAATAAGATTTGTCATGCTTATGCTTCATACATCTGTGTACTTACCTTAGACTGGTCCACTGTCAAGATGAACTGGCGGATGAGCACAAGACAAGCTTTGATATAAAACGTATCCAAGAAATGGCATAACTGTTTAAAGCAATTCTACCGTCTCATTGATTAATGGCACACAGCGACCAAACTGCTACAGACGTGTCATTAACACATTATTAACCAGCAATATCAGCAATGCAATTTTACTGACAAGTTGAGAATGAGATTGCCTTTAAACGTAGCTGTACGGCATGAACCCAACAAGCCAACTTCTCTTCGGTTTGGCAACACTGTGTTAAGGTGGCAGGCTTATGATAATAGAGTCGTGCATGCAGAAACACTATTTGGCATGTAGTACAGTAGCAATGACATGGTTATTTTGCAATGATATTTTGAATTATTTGAACACGTGCTCTTAGTCTATCTTCGTTTGTCAAACTGAATTGCTGGGAAAGCAGTGAGCTCTGTTAATCGGAAAAGTGCCAGTCACGAGTGCCAGAGTAGATCCTAAACTTTTGGTATTTCATAAGGTACACAACCTCTTTGTTCTGTAAGATATCTTACACCATAGCTCAAGCGGTTAGTCGCTGGCTTCCCACCGCGGCATCCCGGGTTCGATCCCAGATCTGGTCAAGTGAGATTTCTGGTGGACAAAGTGGCGCTGGGGCAGATTTTCTCCGAGTACTTCGGTTTCCCCTGCCAATCTTCATTCCACCAATTGCTCCACAATCACCCTCACCTAACATCTGGGGCTGGTACAATAGGCCAGAAGTGGCTGCAGGACAAGGGACTTAGTCTCACCCCACTAGCAATAGAAACAAGCCTGAAAGCTACTTTGTAATTTCAATTTCCTGCCAATCTTTATTTGTCAGCAATGCAAACAAGAAGTGAGACTACCATAACCCTCTTGACTGTCTGCGCAAAATATTAGAAACATATTTTTTTAAGCACAGTAAGTTTATTTTGCGAGCGCGAACTGAGGTAGAAATGGTGCACGCTCTGTCAAGTCCAACCCACAACTGGCTACTTCGTTTCGCGGCTATAATGTCCAGATAACATTCTGCATAACATCAGTCTAGCACAGGAAAATGGATTTTTATCTAAAGTTAGGTTGGTCTACTTACTTGGTTTACAGATAATGGTAAAGTAAAGTAAAGCTATCGCTGTAACAGGCCGTGAAGGCCCATAGGGTTGTGAGACGTTGAGGGTCCCACATTATCTAAATAATCAGCTCAAAGATGGCGGTAAGTTTGTCAGCCTTACGCGTCGGCCGCGCTTTACTCCCAGGAAAGTTATTTAATTAATTCCTGGTACTCATTTCTGTTAGAGGCTGAGTCTACCCCAGGGCCATATTGCGGCTGGAAGGATTAGGTCAATTGAAAAAAATCCAATGACCTCATCGGGACTTGAACCCGCGACCTTCCAGCTTGTAACTTGGTGCCTCAACCAACTACGCTACCGCGTGCCCCCTTTACGGATGATGGTACCGTCTATTACTTAGTTTTATCGTTATAACTAGAGTTGAGTCTTGATGCATATTAATTATCCAAGCTTTTCACGACTTTGTAAGTGAGGTACATCGATCCAGGGCGATGAAAATAAACATTTTTAAGCGAGAAGCGCTTAATTGCTGAATTACTTTATGCACCTCTACACCCACCATCCGATCAATGAAAGAATCTGACTATTCAATTGAAGTTCATAACTTACGTACTCACAAATCTTTAATACTAACCTGAACACAATGTGGAGGAGATCACCTAAGAGTCCATTTTGGCTGTTTAGGAACATTGAATCACTAGCAGCTTCACAAATCGTTTTTAGTAGACATTCTCTTCCCGGAAAACCAAATCTGCAATATAAATTAATAAGGAAATAAATATGCAAACACGTGAACAAAATGAATAACAGTCATGAAACAATTTTAACGCCTAGAATTCCAATCAAAATTAAATACAAAAATATACAACAGTGTAATCACACCCATCATGAAAGTGAAATTTAACTTTAACTTTGAAAGAATAACAAACGGTTGGTTTATGTAGAATATGAAGTAAGAAGGGGTGGGAAAAAAACGTCATAATGGGGGTGCGTTCATAGTTCGTAGTCTTTATTCTGTATAGACTTGGGTCACAGAACTTAAAAATATCACGAGTTGATATCGGGAAAACCCAACGGACACAACATTTTATTTGGGGAGACTCAAAGCAGGTGACCATTTCGGAGAGTAAAGCGCAAATTTAAGAGCAATATAAACATTAATCTTTAAGAGTAAGTTATGAGGACAAGGTTTCATGAACATCCACGTCTGTGTGTTCATAAATCTATCATAATATAAATCATACATATTATACAAAGAGCATTTTGCCATGAGTTTACTACCACGGACATAACAGAGAACACCAAGATATATTAAAATTATGAGGAAATATGTGTGTCAGTTATAAGATGTATGTGTGGTTGCTGAGTTGTATCTGAAATGGGAAGGAAGAAGATTAACATTTCTGGTGTAAATGAAGAAAAGCAGGAAGCAAATTCCTCCTGTCACCCAATCAAGCATAGACGATTTGTCTAGAAAAGGTTTGTTTTTCGACAAAATATTAAACAAGTAAGAGGGTTAATTTAAGCCCTCTTCAAATTCCAACTTACTTTTGAAATACATTTTCGAGCATGGCATATGTTGCACGCCTGCTTATACCTCTGGACGTCCTGGAACTCTCATTGCCAGAGAAGAAGTACTGTGGGTACTGCGGAACATGGTAATTGGCTTCAAAGAACCAACCGACGTAAACTTCTTCCTTGTTTTCCAGTGGAATTGTTGTACTTAAAAATAACTGCAAAGAAATAAACTCGAGAACTATATGACTGAGTATATTTATGGAACAGTATAAAGCTGTAAGATATTTTAAAGTACATATTTTATATTACATTTGTACAAATTACACGACAGTAAAAAAAGGACAAGGAATTAATTAAGATTGAAATGAAATTACAAAATTTTAACAACTAGGTGCAAAACTGTTGTGTGGAAGTCATATTTCATTTCAAAATAATTACACTAACCCCCATTGTTGTGCCTTCTGGGAATATGATATGACGCACTTTTCGGGACATAATGGGTACATCTGATTTGTTTTCCAATAGAGAGTTGCCTGGTTGGATGGATAATATTATTATTGACGTCAGTCTGCAACAGAAAATTTTCTCTTTAGCTTCAGTTCGACATACTCAAACAAAGAAAACTTTATGATACAATCATGTTTAAATAGATCATCTCATATCGGTTGAAGCACCGGGTCAGTTTGTGTAATACTGGCATTATAAGCTATCTAACATATCTAATTTAAAATTTACTATCATAAACAATCCTAACATAAGAAAATCACTAAAAATATTCAGTATAGGGTTCTAATATGTTTTATAACGGAAAGGTTTTTTAGATATACATGTATGCATGTTTGTTAAAACTTTTTAATATTCTTAGTGGGGTGAGACTGAGTCCACTTGGTACTGTGACCACTACTGGCCTATTGTACCAGCCTAGATGATAGACGATGGTATTATGGAGCAATTTGTAGAATGAAGATTGGCAGGGGAAACCGAAGTACTCGGAGAAAACCTGCCCGTGTCACTTTGTCCACCACAAATCCAACATGATCTGACCCAGTTTCGAACCCGGGTTGTTGCGGTGGGAAGCCAGCGACTAACCGCCTGAGCTATAGTACTAGCTCTGTTAAAGTTACTTCAAATTTAAAGTTTCATACGGTTGTGGTGGTCTCGTTGCTTTTATATGATGGCTAAACATGGACGTTTAAGGAGACAGACTGGGAGGGAATTCAAGCAGCGCAAATGAAATGCATACGCAGTCAGACGTTGCACTAGGACAGATCAATTGGAGAAATGAGGATACATGAAATGAGATAGGTATCTTCTCTTGCCTGAACAAATTACACAGTGTGGAGACAAATTGGAAATACATTTCTAAAGGATATACGAGACTCCCATTCCATTTCACATCTATCGTCGCTCTGGAAGGCGAGATATATGGCTAAAGGAGAAGTAACAATGTTAGAGGCCGGAATAGGCGATTCACCTAGTCAACGAAATGGTTTTGATAAAGAAGAAGAAGCTAATATTGAAGCGATAATGCAAATATATATTTAGTTTCATTTTCCATTATTATAACTGACGAAACATATCAGACGATTTTGCGAAGTACTGTGGGAAGAGAAAGTCAGCATAAGCGGAGTTGCTTCTGATATGCATTTGTGAGATTCTCGTTCGAAACTGGGCCGGAATACCGAGTATATTGCCTGAAGTTATTCATAGTTTTACTCAGTCTCTACAGGCAAATACCGTGACTTTACTTTGCAATATTCGCGGCCGCTTCTACCCAAGGACTTTCAAACCCATCTCACATCATTCGATGTTGAATAAATGCTGAAACTGACATAGAACTGCTAAATAATCCACGATCCATTTAGCCATCCATGTATGGTGTGACAAGTTTTGTTACAAATGTTTAGACTGCTTTAAAAAACAATAACTCAAGGCCTTTATAAGATTCGCCACATCCGACTGCTTAACTGCAACGTACAAACTACCTGCCCGATTTGAACCAGACCTCGGTATAGTAAACTTGCACTAGACTATATTTTGCCATGCCATTTTAATTTTATTCTTTTCATGTTATGACTTATTTCACTTACAGGCATAAACGAACCTTCAGTTATTCTCGAGTGAGTTGACGGCTCACATAACTTGAAACACAGCTCTTATATTGCATATATTAGTATGAATAATTCACTTTAATACATTATGCATCGGCCGCCCGTTACTCCACGAAAGTTTCCTGGTACTCATTTCTGTTAGAGGCTGAGTCGACCCCAGGACCATAGTGCGGCTGGATGGATTAGGTCAATTAAAAATATCCATCTCGTCGGGACTCGAACTCGCGACTTTCCGGCCTGTAGCTTAGTGAATACATTAGGATAATACTACTTAATGAATTAGGGAAATCTCCATGCAAATTAGCACTCGTAAATTCATTCATCAGTATGATCTTATGTGACAATATTGTTCACTTGCACTGTTTTGTGGCCCTATATTTAGAAGCATAATATAGACCTGAAATTCGACATATGGCATTCACATGACGCTTATTGTGTTTTCCGCTTATAATGAGACTCTATCATAGCACAATGACTTAATTTCATTGAAATGTACAAAGGAAAGTTAGAGAGAAAGAACCATTAAACCCCTTAGTAAGACAATGAAAAGCAAGCACCGCGTTATTGTATATATAACTTGACAAAAATATGTGTATCACTAAAGAATGTTTAGGGAGAAATTTTCTGGCTTAAGGCGCATTACATAGGTTACAATAACTTTCAGCTTAACTTTGGCTATAAATTTAATTTTCTGTTCTTAATGTTTACATTTATGGAAACGTTCAAACTTGTACAGACAGAATCAGTTTCTTCTGTTACTGAAATTAAAACAATAACTGGCAGGTTCCAATTTTTGAAGACAAACTTCGAACAATTTTAATTGAAGGATGTGAGTTTTATATTTCTGTGGTTTGTTCTACGAGGCAATCAATATATCAGCTTACGTAATATCGAGTACTAGGATGAGTGTACAAGTTTTAAAAAGTTTTGAAGAAAATTTTCGTGGCCTAATAGAGGCACTACTCAGGATTTTTTTCTGGAGAAACTGAGGAAAAATTTAATGAGGACAGCTGATATTCCGGCTGACATTCGAACCCGAACATTTCCAAAATACGAGGGTAAGACAATATGTAAGTTACAAATGGATATTGAACTTAAACAAATAAGAGCACTGATTTGAAAAATGCTTTTATAACTTACTTATTGACTTACCTACGTATAAATATAGAACGTTACAACTATTTCAACTTGTCCAGTTGTTCGGTGCAGAAAAGAAACTAAGAATAATACGATAAAAGCTGTAATACTCGGCCAACTGTCTGTACACATGTACGTATAATGACAGAAGTTCTGCACGAATTGAGCTGGTGTCCTATGTAAAATCATTCATCGTATTATGAATATTAATTAATCATTACAAGAAAAAAATACTTGAATGAAAACATACCCGCATTGAAGAAATCTTAATGATTTAATTTCTTTTAAAGTATACCAAATTACACTAATTATGTGTGACTGTCTATAAAATAAGGAAACATTTCTACTGCAAGCTTTAAACTAAACACAAAAATTAACGAAAACACATAATTTAATTTATACGATATCATTACCTCCATATCCATTGATTCTTGGCTTTGCCAACGATCAAGTTGACTAGCTCAAGAGATAAGCTTTATTTGTATTTCAGAGTGCTCGATTTGAATATTTTGGGACTGTCTGTTCAGGAAAATGTCGAGACAGCGCCTTAAATTAAGCAACAGTCGTGTCCTTCGACGTCATTCTAATTCAGTACCCACTATCATCCTGTCATTCGAGACTACACAGTCTAAGTTAGTCACAGCATCATTAAATAAACTATAAATAAATAGATCAGACTCAGTCGTTGGTGCCTTTTGAGTGAAATGTGATGATTTAGCACAAAGTTAAGAATAAAATAATAAAGGTTAATTGATGAGAAACTCATCTATAGACCCACTACCTCTTAAGGTTATTCGTAAGCTACTAATCATATATGAATATAAGCAGTTTCAGGAAGGAAGTTAGGTTGCAGGAAGTAGTTACATTTTTTTTACTACACTTCGAGGGACAAACTGAGACATTCTTGGTAAAATAAACATGCAATTGTGACTCTGTATGCTTTCTTAGCCTTGCAGAAACTGTCACAAATATATTCAAAATAGGAAGTTGGGAACAACTTCAATTCTAACTTCGTGAACTATATAAGCAAAGCAATAAATAACTTACATGAAATGGAAGTAGGATGCCATTGACATCGAAGTTCATTTCCACATGGCGGGGGAATGTTATCCCAGCATTGACGTAAAACAAGCTTTTAGTTGCAAGCGAGGTGTTACAGTGCAAACTATGTTGGCATCTAGGATGTATTCACTAGCAGTATGGCAAACCCGCTGCACATATGTTCAAATAAAACAGCAAACAAGTTTCATGGCCTTCCTTCACTTAGAACATTGTTGAAAGAAACTGTAAATTTACTCTGATGTCTGGAGCGAATCCTTGAGCTTTACGAAAACAGATATTAACAGCAGGAATTATATTCACTGTTTGTGTAGTTTAGTTTATTGTTATGGATATGGTATTAATAAAAAAGAGTAAATTCTAAGATGAACTCTCGGAAATCACGGAAAATCGGACTTCACTTGACTAGGGCTGAGCGATTCTCTGTTGCTCATGGAAGGGCCTGTACAACACGAATTTTATTTACTACAGTTTATTTATATATTCTCGAATGTATTTATGCTGGAATTTGCAGTTCAGAACAAACAGTAAGTTGAATGCACTCGGAATCGCCGGTTCTAGTTCTGCCTGGATATTTCTGCATATCTGTGTCTTATTGTGTTGCGTCATGTTGTGGCCTTAAGGTTCGGTCACACAGAGCGCTACGCTATGTTCGCTACGTACGCTGTGTACACTATGCGACGCAGCTAACATAGGGAACATAGCGTACGTAGCGTACGGAAGTCTGTGTGGCCAGACACATTGGTAGTAAAGGGAGATATTTTTCTATTCGTATAGCGAACATAGCGTACGTAGCGTGCGTAGCGTACGTAGCGCTCTGTGTGGCCGAACCTTTAGGGAACGCTGACCCTCTCTCTAATAACTATGTTCCGAGAATGCCTGTAGATTTAGATATGTTCTAATTTTTGTCTAATCCATTAAGGCAGGCATGTAACTAACCTGGGCAGTACGTTAGTTTTCAGACGAACTGAACACAATAAATGAAATAAGTAATAAATCTTGCATTCAGAGCAGAAGTCATCATATTATTCCTCCGGTTTGCCAAGAAGCAGCATCACAGAAGGTATGAAATCCGTCACCTAATGGAAACCTACAAGTACTCGTCATACTAATTCAAATGAAAAATTCAAATAGAAACACCCGTGTGCTAACTTGTATTTACACAGGATATTGGCAAACATGACCACGCAGCACTAGCGACGAATGTGATGGTTGTTTGCTGGTTGAAACAAACTGGAATTACACTTACAGCGCTCTTACAATAACTCTGTTTACAAAGAATACTGCGAAAATACATTTATGACGTTCAGTAAAAATTGTTTATTTTATTTTAAACTGTTATCATCTAGGACAATATATGAAATATTACTATGGACGATATTTATATAATGTGTGTAATGTTCAATATCACTGTAGCATGGACCGTGCTCAAGTTACAGACGTAGGCGACGGTGTCTTTGTATGTAGGATCGAATTTTGCGGACAGCCAAAATTAGGCGGTCCTCCAAAATGTTGTTGGATATCGGGCAAAACATGTTACATCGTAAATGGAATATGTTACTCAATGCCTTAAAGGATTTCTGACATGAACGGAACCTCTGTCATAGATCAAGACGTGAAATTTCTTCCTTGGAGTATGTGATATCTTCAAAGGATATGTTGATTTGAAGCGGAATGAACACGAACAGAATGATACTCAGGTCTCTAACACGGGTTTGAAGAAGGAACAGGTGCCACAGAAATTAATAGTATAATAGATTAATCTATACGTCAATTGCACTGAAAATTAATGTACAGTAGATTAGTTTATTCATATTGAAAGTGCCGACATGTTTGTTTTACACATTGCTTCATAAGAGCAGTGACGTCGAAGAAAACTGTTATACTTTCCCAGGCTTCTAAGGTTGCAAATATTTCTTCACATGGAAGATACATTTTTGACTGAAAAATTTAAAGAACGAAAATTTATTTCCATTTTAAAGTATCTTTCCGTTTCCCAGGTTTTGTTTCCAGAAAACTATGTTGGCTTCAATTATACAAAAGAATCTTGGCATGAAATGTGGTTTGAAATAAGAAATTTACTGGGAGCCTCTCCGGCCTGTGTTATACCAGAAGGAATAGGATATTATTGTTAGGCTACATACACAGACAAGAAATGTTGCAGTACAAATACCAGTGTACACACACACAATATTTGGGATATTTATTTCCTATACGGTTAGGCTTAATGGTAATCCTTAGAAAATGTGAGAAAATTCGGACGCCTGGGAATGACAGTAACATACTGTCGCGTATTGGGCGTATAACGCGACAAATAACTTCACGATGTATTTTATATAGCGAATTTTATTTCACATTCGCACTTACAATCACCCAAATTACAGATTTACGATTACTGCTATTTGCAGTATCACAAATAGTACACTCCAAATGCCACAATACAACTGACTGGTTGCTGGCTAACTCGGCGGTAGCTCCAGGACTCACTGACTGTGAATAGCCTTCGCTGCTCCTTATGTAGCCTTGATCGGACAATACGGAAAACGGCCACGTAATAGGCACCCTTGTTGCCTGGCGCTGTGTTGCTAGTAACGCTAGCGGTAGTAACCGCTGTTACTACCGTAACAATCCTGTTGCGTCACCGTTACGTTACCGTGCGGAGGAGGGGGAGGGGAGCGCTGACTCACCCGCCGCGTCACTGCCGGTGGGGGGGGTTCTCCTTTGCGCAACATGTCACAATACGAACATTACCTTTACTTAGGAAGCAATAACATGAAATGTTGGGGACTGCTTCGTGTCATTCAGTTGACGATATTTTGTCTTCCTACCTCCTAAGTACGTGCAGAATAAAGTATCTAAAATATAATCGTGGTTGATAGGTGCGATATCTGAGTTTTCTGTCTGTGAGGAAGTTATGTTACAGGTGTTTGAGAACAAGGTGGTAGGAAATTGAGCGAATAACCAACGGTGTTGCAACCCATTTATAGGCAGAAACACGTTCCCGTGGCAATGAATGCGCATGCAACAACAGAGTTAATGTTGGAAACAATGGTTTCTGCTCGGTACGTCCATAGGGGTTATAAGGAAGAAAACTGGGGCGACCCAGTCAATTGACAGTTGATTTGATAGAGTTCTGCACGGGAGGCTTTGAAAGTAGAACTTAAGCGCGTGAAGCTGAAGAATCTCCACGGTTAGAAGCCGTTGCCAGGTAACTGCTGTTGAAGGAACTGTAGGCTGGAAAAGACTTAGCGTGTAGTAATTTGTAAAGTGTGGAAATCAGCGGCAGTCCTGTAATTACCTGTAATTACGAGTGGTGTGTATAAGTAGTCAATAAATCCATTGTCCAGACCATACCCCGTCTATAATGACCACTAAATCGTGACAATATTATATTATACCTAATTTTCTTCTTAAGAATCTTCTGGTCTCCAGTTAGTTACTAAAACCGATGCTTAAACATATAACTTAAATTTGCCAAATATTGATATCTGCATAAGCTAAATCGTAAAGAAATTAATGTCCTTATGGATGCCTAAATATTTTAATAATAAGGAAGTACTGGCAATACTGTAGGCTTGTATTTTGGATTTGTTAATTTTGTTAACCGTTCGTTCAGTCGAAAACTGAGGTCCTACTTAACCAAATAAACGAATACTGTCTTCTTTCAATTCCATTCCTACTTTCAGTTGAAAGAACTTCGTTAAATAAGCTAAGAATCGGTCCAAGATACAGCATTTCATCATTTAAGTGGAGGAGGAGAGTAGAACTGGAAATTGCTGCCTTTCTCGTGGTCAAGATTGAAGTCCAGGACTTATCGCAAGCAAAGGAAATCTGCAAATCACGACAGACAATGGACGGTTTGTAGGTTTTAAGTGGACGCTTGCAATATAATATAAATTTAGTGCGCTTATTATTGAAACCACAATAGGTAAATGATAACCATAAGAGTGAAATAATTCAACCATTGAAAATAAAATATCTCAGAGAAGAAAAATCCTTTATACACTTATCTGCTAAATATAAAAGTGTTTAATCAGAGAGAGCTTAACTTTTTTAGTCTGTGAATATCTAAAAGTTTCTTTAAGGAATTAGTTTAAGTCTTTTGATTACATTAAACAAGCACAGTTTGGGAGTCTTGATTTAAAAAGAAATCCCTGCATCTACCTTTACAAAGCCTGCTTAGAGTACGGCTAATATGTGACTCTCGAGAGCAATCAATGGGCAGACAATCACAGCTGCTTGTATCAACTATCGATTCGTGATTGGTTGACATGCCCTACATATCCGGTTATGAGAGCTGACAATTGCGTGCAGTGGACCATCCTCCCGTAAGCAGTTCTCCCTTCCGCACTTCTTTCCACCTCTCTAGCATCCAGGTACAAGCCATGGTTTCTGATGACCGAGGAGTCCACTTCGAGTCCCGGTAGGAGCAAGAATTTTCTCTTCTCCACATCTTCCAGGTCGGTTGTGGGGCCCACCCAGCCTCCCATCCAATGGGTACCCGGGGCTCTTTCCCTGGAGATAAAGCACTCACTCAGCTCCAACTAGTGCTGAGCTCAAGAAAATGTGGAAAGTTACACCTACTCCCCCCTACGTGTTCATGGTGGAGTGTTTGATTAGTTAAGCACAGGAACAATTTTACCTTTCATAGTTTCTGAAACCGTGAGTCGAGGCCCCACCCAGGGTGTGGGACCTACTTTATTGAGGATCACCGGCTTTTCAAACATTATTTAAAACATAATTGTATTCAAGCACAGTTTCGTCAGCGCGCCAATAAGAATCAACTTATGCTGCGTGTTCAGAAGACTGTAGCTCCAGTCGGCAGACATCCATGAAGGAAGATGTGTGGATTTCTTTCTCATTAGTCCTACCACATCAGTAGCTCCATCTATGGTTGAGCGCGTAAATGTGTTTAGTATTTTAATGATTCGTGGTATCACAGAGTTATAGAACCATTCACAAATCATGAAAATTTGTAAACAGCTATTCTTTTTATGCCTCTAGGCAACTGCGTGAGGTTAACGAATATACGTATATACACACACTAGACGTTTCAGCAAACGGCATATTGGCGAAATCAATAACAAAATATACATTCAGTTCCATTTGTTTCGCCTTTGTACGTGTTGTAGTAGTAAGAATAATTGGGTTATTGTTATATCAGTTAAGGGACTAAAATGTCTCGTTATTTATGTTATTTATTGTTAAGTTTATTATTAAGAAGAAAGTCGTCTTTTGGGATCTGGCGCCGTGTATTCTTTATTTCAGCCGACGTTTCGGAGGAACGTNCCTACCCCCACAGCTACTGCTCTCCGCATTCCAAGCCATTCAACTGCTCTGAAGATGGGGGCGTTACGTTCCTCCGAAACGTCGGCTGAAACAAAGAATACACGGCGCCAGATCCCAAAAGACGACTTTCTTCATAGTCATCGCTGTGAAAACCTCAAAACTTACTTATTATTATGATATTTGTAGGAGAAAAATTTACAAGTTTTAAAGATATTTAATGAATGTATCATAAAAGAAAAAAGCAATTTCATTGTTTCAGTGCAGTTTATTTTAAAAAAACTCTGGAAGAAAAAAAAGGAAATTTCAATTAATCTCTATCAAGAAGCAATAAATGAACTTAAGTATATTGCCCTTGGTTGACGACGCAGAAATGTTTTGTTTTACAGTGGAAGCTAATTACATATGTACTGATCAAATACAGTAATCATTTACGTTCCTCCATTCCATCACACAATATCACACACTCTAAACCTGTTTTCACTCTGAGGTAAAACCGCGTAAGAGATCCCGAACAATAGGTTCGCCGGTTCGAAGTCGTGTTGGGTCATGGGCGTATGCTTGTGTTTTTCTCTGTTGTGTTGAGAAATGTCTCAATGTAGGATATGTACTGCACCGATTTCATGTCTAAGTAAAAATAAGAAAGTAAAGCTATCCCATAGGGTTGTGAGACGTTGAGGGTCCCGCATTATCTAGACAATCGGCTCAAAGATGGCGGTAAGGTTGTCAGCCTTACTCGCCGGCCAGGAAAATTCCTGGTATTCATTTCTGTTAGAGGCTGAGTAAATCCCAGGGCCTAGTGCGGCTGGAAGGATTAGGTCAATTGAAAAAATCCAATGACCTCAACGGGACTTGAACCCGCGGCCTTCCGGCTTGTAGCATAGCCCCTCATCCACTACGCCACCACGTGCCCCCTTTCACGTCTAGGAGATTCACCAAAGGTCTACAGCATTCACTATTTTATTCTATATTGGAAGAGAACCAGATGACCTGATTGTGCACGCGTGAGGAAAAGAAAATATTGTGGACTGATTTAAAATGAAGGATTGGGAGAACACAGCATCAGTAGAGAGCAGGAGTACTGGTGGTCACTTTCTTTGTATAAAGGTTTAGCCTTCTATTTAATCATGCAGGTAAAAGGCAGTAAGTATGCTGTTCACTCGTAGGAGCCGTAAGTCACATACTGCTTCCATGTAATTAGTCTCTGTGTGTGGTGATGGCGTCCAAAAGTCCAAAAGAACATTTTGAGTAGGCAAGTTGGCAATCTTCACCATTTGTTCCAAGTTGTTCTGCGGTGTTGAAAGGCAAAGGAAGTGTCTCATCCAAAGAGGATGAAGGACTGAAAAATATACGTAACACTGAATTAATAAGTAGCGAGATAATAACTAATTTGACAAGAAATTAAATATGGAGCAAATATTTAAAAAAAAAGACTCAATAATAATATCAATAAATAACTACGAAATGAAGTAAACAGTTAATTAGATATGGAATTAAATAAGTAAAGAGTAAAATTAATTCTGGAAGCAAGTATATAAGCACACAATAAAAAAATTAAGTAAGTACACAAGTAAATAAATTAAGTATATAAATATATTATGTAAGTAAAAAATTTAAATGAGTTAGGACCTTAACATGTTACAAAATAAGTAAGGAAATTCGCTAAGTAACTAAGAAAATTACACATTTAGTAATCCGTCCGTCCTTCCAAAAATTCATTTACGGGGTCTAATGCCCCGCTAACAGAACCCCAAGTTTCAATAAAGTCTGCCATTTATCATGGTCTGAACCACTTCCGCCATCTCACACTCTCATGAATTATTCATATTGATCATATTATGTCGTAACGAAATGTATAAATGTGCTTACTGTGACTTAAGCGAAGTATCTTTCGCAGTGACTGGACAATCGTGAATCATTCGAGTTCTGGGGTTGCCGATTCTGCTACCCCGTCGGGAGGCAGATCAAAATCCACGGTTTTATACGTTCTCTTCATAAAATGAATGCATGTATTATTTGTCTGTTCAATTTCATGCCTGTCCGTCGCCATTATTCATTTCCGAAACTCCGACATTTCACATTTGCGGTCTACATTGAAATTCTTCGGCTGAATTCATTTTATTACAAATCTAATTAATGCAGCCCGAAATTTATATTACAGTCAAATAATGAATTAGTAAGGGCCGCCTCTGTGGTCTAATGGTCAGATTTCTGGCTGCAGATCCAGAGGTCCAGCTTCGATTCCCGGTGCTACCAGTTTTTCTGAGAAGTAGTAAGTCTGGGACAGGGTCTACTCAGCCTCGTGAGGAAAACTGAGGAGCTATTTCAAGGAAATAGCGGCTCCGGTCTAGAAAACTGAGGTTAACGGCCGTGGGGATCCGTTTCGCTGAACACGTGACACCATCTATCCGCAAAAGTTGGCACTCACTTCGCGGACAAGCGGCGATCGCTCGGTTGTTATAGTTCGCTTACTTGCTAAAATCACGGAGTTTTTTTTTGATGTAACAGAATATTTAATAGCTCAGATTAATTGTACAATGGATAACGAATAACGAGAAGCAAACAGTCGTGTCCTAATTTGAAATACTATCTCGGAATTTTCTTATAGTGTCAGGGAATATCATGGAAACTTCAGTCTCTCGGCCTCCGTTTGACTATAGGTTCTCCGAAGCGTGCTACCATACGACTGCCATGTCTCGTCCATTCATTTTAGCGAGTAGGGAGCAAATTCAAAGAGATAGTAAGATAACGTAACTTTACATACGTGAAAATGATATGTACCAGATCTCCCAGCAAACCATTTTGCTTGTTTTCATAGAGCGAATTTCCAGTAACTTCACAGATTGTCCTTAACAGGCATTCTCTTCCATCGAATCCGAACCTGCAGAAATAAAGTTGTAACAAGAACAGAAATCTGAAAAATAATTATTGATTGGGAAGGTTCTGTTACGTTGTTTATAGTTCGGCTTTACAAGCTTCGACTTTCTCAGACTAGCCAGTACAAGAATCTTCTAAGTTCGAATTGGTGAAGGCACGTTAACATAATCATTTCAAGCTTAAAAATAAAATGAATCTAATTGACTTCCTTTGAGTAATTAGGCCCTTGGTAGGGTGTTTTTATTATGACAAACTACAAAAACCGGTAAAATACATGGAATTGCTTCCTTGAATTACCATCTAGGAATATCGAATTTACTTCTTTATTATGAAAGTTTCTAATATTATGCTCTGTAGACGTAGTTGTAGACTAATATTTCAGTTTAGTGGCTAATGCTTACTTACACATTTAACTTAATTAAAACTTAATGTACAGATTTTTATTAAAACAATTTTGTCATTATATTACATAAACGGTACATTTATTTACTTTTATTATTGTAAATAATAATTAATTGTGGATGACAATATTAGTTGGTCTCCTATTAATGACTCCTTAAAGAGGAGTTTCTCACGCAGAGGTACCTGTGCCCCTAGGGGTAACAAAGGTGCTTAGCAGGGGCTTCCATATACTTTTGAGCAATCCCATTGTAAACTGTTACCTGAAGGTGTTACTTTATTTTTAGTGGACTCATGCTGAGACATGCTACAGAAGCTAAGGAGGTTCTGCATTTTCCACTTTTTTCTTTCTTTAGGTGCGTCCAGTCATTTAATTGTTTCCGAGAGTATTAACAACAACAATTTCGAAAACTTAAGTTTAGAGCAATATTATATTATATAACTGACGCAATTTTATTTCCATTAGCCATTTCTTTCATACCACTCTGTATATTTTTTTTTCCTTGGCACTACAGCCCCAGTGGGCCTAGGCCTACCTCCATGAACTCCGTTCACTTCGGTTTTTCTAGATCTTACACATACGGTAGGACTCCTTGGGCGGGTGATCAGCTCGTCGCAAAGCCTCTATCTGTAGACAAACACAGAAAAACGCACACAAACAACCATGCCCTGAGTGGGATTCGAACCCACGATCCCGGCTTCCGAGCGAGCGAAGACAGTGCATGCCTTAAACCGCTCGGCTACCGTGACCGGCACTCTGTATATAGGCCTTACGAATATTAACACAAAAAAGAAGTTTTGCAAGATCATCATTTCATTGTTACTGAAACCACAAAGGTTTTTTTGTTATGTTTGCAGAGCTAAACCTACCTGTGAAACGTTTTCTCCAGCATGTGGTATAACCCAGTCCTGTTCAGATCTCTGGAAATTCTGTATGACATCACACTGTCTAATATGTCTGATGCATTGAAGGGAAATTCTGGAAGGTGATAAGCTGCCTCCATAAACCAGGTCTCGGAGAGTTCCTTGTTGCTTTGAAGTGGAATGCTTGCAGCTAAAACCATCTATGTACAATAAGAAACTCCGAAACTGAGAGACGTATTAACCGCCGAAAAAAAAGCCCTTAACACAACATTCGGGGAACTCGTGTCTCGGAAACCTCTTTCGCTCCTTCAAGAAGGTCTAGACATGCAATAACGATCCTCTAATTAGACTTTTAAGCAAAATGTAGCGCTCAACAAATGCTGATTTTGTTAAGCATCAAAACAAAAGTTCCACTTGTGCAATTTTATTCATTCTTCTATAAATTTTGTTCTTAAAATTTTTATTTGATCTTGTGGTTAAATATTACAGAACTGTAAGCAACGTTAAAAAATAATCAGCCATGGAGGAAACTGTTATTCTTTCCGTGAAGTGAAACACAGGAAACAGTCGGTATCAACAGAAGAGGGATTATACCTATGTGCTCAAAATATACTTTGTGGATAATCTATTTGCTTAGATAGTGTATCACAAAAGATCATAAGTGATCACTACATTCAAAAGTGACGTAATATGACATGTTTCATTAACGAAATTTTACAGCTTCTGACTGTATCGTTTTACATTTTTACAACATACCAGAGCAGTCCTTAACTTTTCTATGAACACGTAGATAATATTACTATACGTTTTATTACATTGTATGTTTGTGCGCGTAATAAGCAAAAGAATATTGACACTTATCACCATTAATAAATTTCTACAACTTTTGACTGTACCATTTTTACACTTTTGAAACAGACGAGAGTATTCGGAAGTTCTTCAACGAAAAGGTAAATAATATTAGTGTACGTTTTATCATATGTTTGCGTTCGTAATGAGCAAACGGATGTTGACACTCACCCCCATTACTGAGCCTTCTGGGAAGAAGATGTAACGTAGTTTCCTAGAAAGGACGGCGAAGTCAGTGTGCTCATCAAGTTGACAGGTGATCTTCACCGATAGCAGTGCCACTGACGTCACTCTGAAACAATATGTCTACTGTCCACATTCGTGGTTTTGTAAAGAGCGTAGAAATCTGCACTGTTAGAAGAGTCGGTTTACCTCCTAGGCTTATTATTTCAGTAACCTTCACGTCACACAAATAAACTTCCACTTTTCCCCAGAGCCAGAAAGGATAAAACCTCTCCTAGCCTTCCTCTGTAATTTTAGAAAAGTTTTCGGATCCCACATCTGTGATAGAATTATTGTTTTAAATTTAGTTACTCACAGGAGTTTGAGATATGTTGACATCCTTCCCACAGTTGAGGTTCATTTCTAAGAATTACATACTGTAGCAGACGACATATTTGAAATACAAAAAATGTGCTCGGAAACTGAGGGACCTTCTAAGGGACAAGAAGGGAAATGCATCGTAACAAGAAGAAAAGAGAACAGCGTGAGAAACAAGTTCAATGATCTTGTGACAACTTGTACAAACACATTTTTTCGGTCTGTCACGCCCCACCACTTCACTATACATGCCTAATTTATTCTTTATAGAAGCGGTTTGGTAAGCTGCAGGAGTCTTCTCAAATATTAATTTACACACTAGTACGAAGTAACTTTTTATCCACAGGAACGTATCTTCATGGTGTAAATGGTTTTCTGTACAGGAAAAATAAACTGGTTGGACGTTTCACTCAAAATTGTCCAGTCAGAATCTTTATTTTGCACCTCGCCGAATATCACCAGGCAGCAAAAAACAACAAGCGCGAGATGTGAGGGCTGTGTGGAAGAGACCAGCTCAGAGGTGTAGACATAGGGGGAGATAATATTAATTTGGGAGTTAAAAGTTGCAGTTTGAGAATGCGAACTGGATTAATACCAACAGTCCAATTTTCTGGGAGATAACGCCGTGTACTCCACTGAAAATCAACCGACTTTTCAGAGTAACATATCGCCTCCATCTTCAGGGTTGGAGAATTTTCCAAGCAAGAAACCAGCATGAAGCATGTTCCTGACGGTTTCTTGTCTAGCTTATTCTTCAACCCTGAAGATGGAGGTAACATGTTCTTAATGTTAGTTGATTTTCAACAGACTGTTACTCCTTTATATCCCACGAGATAAAATCTCTTCAAACCTACCGCTGTGAAAACATCATATCCTGCATGAATTTATCTGGCGCGGCAAAGATCCATTGCCGGCTTTCTCTAAACACGGGAATGAATCCTCGGGTTCGATAAAAGGCGACAAATTTTTGACTGGCTGAGCGACTATTAGGCTCTTGAATGAAACTCTATTCCACTGAGTTGGAAGAATATCCGTCCGTAATTTCTCTCGTGTCAGAGAACAACAATTACAAACTAAGTGTCCGGATTATTCATGTAGGAATTACTAATTTCCATACGTACAAAGCGGAATGTAAACTGTAATTCAGAAACGCAATGGAAATTTGCAGATGTCGTCAGACATTCCAAATTTCTGTGCAATTCTTTCCGTTATTAGTCCACATTTTCATCGACACTCAGTAACTTTAGCGACTGATAGAAAACTCTAGCGTCTCAACTCCCCCCTAATATTTGTATTTCGAAAGGGCCAGGTTTTACTCAGATCCTCCAGATTAAGGAAGGTATCATACCTTAGAATGAATTATGATGACTTCCTTCAAATTCTTTCAAATTCGCCGAAGATCAATATCTTCTCACATACCACCGCGGTGCAAAACCTGTTCAATTAATACAGTACCTTTCAACAATTAGAGGTACAAATTTTTATTTATTTGATGTAATTTAATCCTTCCAACTGCACTATGGCCCTGGGGTCCACTCAGCCTCTAACAGAAATGAGTACCAGGAATTAGTTAAATAATTTTCCTGGGGAGTAAAGCGCGGCCGGCGCGTAAGGCTGACAACCTTACCGCCATCTGTGAGCCGATTGTCTAGATAATGTGGGACCCTCAACGTCTCACAACCCTATGGGCCTTCACGGCCTGTTCCAGGGATAGCTTTTTTTTTTACTTTACCTCCAGTCTTATGACTCGGTTACGTGTTGTGTGGAACACAGCCCAGGGTTTTTCTTATTATTTCACATTTTCTTCCACACACAACTGAGTATGAACTCATCTCATAAATCAATACTCTTTAGTATTAACTAGCGCCATGCTCCTAATTATGGTTTGGATTGAAGATGTGCATACACGTACTCACATTCATACACTCCTCCCTATTACTGACGAATACTGACATTTCAAACAACGATCTCTGATATCCTGAAATTAGGTAACAAATGTAATACATTTTGGAGCGACAGTAACATATGACGATTATTCATACATTAACAAAGAATCACAAAGTGAGAGAATGACCGATACTGTTCAGATGAGAATAGTTTTACCCCATGTTCAAGCAATTACTCTATTTCATTTATTCCACGACTCTCTCTTTCTGTATAATTGTACAGCTTTCGTAGGATAATTGAATAAATAATTAATTAGAAATTGTCCGGAAGGAAGTAATCATAGCCTAATTTGAGGTATTATCCTGGAATAACTGAGTAAAATCACAAAAGCATCATTCAGGATAGATGATGTTCCAGTCAGTATTTGGATCGTTTATCTCCAGAATAAAAGCCAGTAGTTCTATTGCTTGTGTTAACTTGTTCAGTTTCTCCAGTTTAGAGACCTGAGATTAAAATAAGAAAATCTGCAAATTTATCTTTTAATTTATATGAGGCGTGACGCTTGGTTTCTTGTACAAGTGTAGAATAGTGACTGGGGAATTTGTGAGGAAAATGTTGAGGGAATATTTTAATATAAAAGAGAGGAAGTAGAATGAGATGGGAAATACCTCCACCGTGACCCTGCGAGTTGTAGGAGGCGACGAAAAGGGAAGTCTCAAATCTGAGACAGCAAAATATGATCCCGAGTCCCAAGAGACTCAGACCTGAGAAAGACTGCACTGGCAAGGGCCAGCAGCATATACAAAACGCAGACCCGTCCTCTCGTCAAAGAGGGCGCCTCACAAAAATAAGACCGTAAATGCCAAACAGTAATAAATATCTGGTCTTGAACCCCAGATAGGGCTCAACACCAAGACTTACTGACTGACTGATCGTTAGTCGCAATGCGACTTTAGCTCTGACTTGGAGATGGGAAAACGTTGCATCATGCAATCTGGCCACCTACCAATAAACAAGAATCACTTTTACTGGGGTGACTGAGCAAAGGAAGACGAGGTGAGCGGGCTATGGAGATGTGAGCAACACATCCAAAAATTTAGTCATAAAATTCTATAGGAACTTAGACCTAGATAGCAGGACAGTATGTAGGTGAATTCGAAGGAAGTGAGTGAGGGCACGAATTGCATGCATGAGGACCAAGATTGAGACCAATGGCGAGCTGTTGTGAATAAGATAATAAAGCTTCAGGATTTATATAAGGCGCGTAATTTGTAGATCAGTTAAGAAACTCTCAGATTCCCAAGAGTCTGCTCCATGGAACTTGTTAGTAAATATAGTCACGTGTAAGGGGTACGTGTGACTGATATAGTGAGTTCTAGATTTGATTGATTTGATTTATTAGGCGTCTCTATTACAATTTCACCTGATTGCAACAGTTCACATATTTGACGCCTTCTGGATAACGAATCTCCCACTGTTGTCTGATCTTGCACTAGCCTCTAGTCTTCTCTTCTTTAGCCTACTGTATTCTTCTGCCGTATTCTGTCCTTTTTGATCAGTTCTCTCCCTGGGGTAGGTTCAGGTCGAACCGTGTTGAGATCGCCTCCTTGAAGGGTTCTCCTTTTGCGTCTCCCGTGTAATTGGCCGTTTCTGTTCCGTTGCCTAGGAGACGTCTTCAGTAGTTCCCCCGTTGTCGTGATTATTGAGAACTTCGCTACTAAGTAAGTAAGTTCTATTGTTGACCGCGTTACACGGGGTTTTCTGGTTCCATATCTTAGCACTCTGAGCATCCCGTCATATTATAGGTGAATAAATAACGCAAATGAAACAAACAAGAAAGGACAGACATTGACTTGTTGAGGTACGTCTTTCTGTTCGAGTCATTTCCACAACATTTAAAAACTGAAAATGTAACCGATGAAAGTTAAAGCAGGTTAGCTGTACTTGTTGGACGCCAGACACCGCATACCTGTATATATTTTATACGATAACTTTTGGGATAAACTAAAAATAACTAAACTCTGTAGCTTTTAGTCCGCAAGCGAACTATACCGACCGAGCGACCACCGCTTCTCAGCGAAGTTAGTGCCAACTTTATCGGAGAGGGGGTGTTGTGTGGTCAGCGCAACGGATCCTCACGGCCGTTAATCTCGTTTTTCTAGACCGGAGTCACTACTTTTCAATTCAAGTAGCATCTCAATTATCCTTACGAGGCTGAGTGGACCCCGTTCCAGACCCACTACTTCTCAGAAAATCTGGTAGCGCCTGGAATCGAAGCCGGGACCTCTAGATCTGTAGCCAAGAAACGTTTGGGATATTCATTTGAAAACATTTGACATATCCCAGTAAGCACAGGGCAGGGGTGAGAGGTAGAGCGACAGCTTATTCTGCGTGTTGACTGTGCTACAGACTGGGCAACAAGGGAATAGTGGTTCAATTCCTGGCAGCGGTAACATATATGTGTTCCAAACCGCTGTGAGATCTGCAGTTATATCCAAAGAGACTCCTATTCCGTGGGTGCCACTAAAGCGGCCGTTACCTGAACATGACAATCCACCTTCTACTGCCAAGTTTAAGAATGTGTGGAATTATATATCCTCCTGATGTACCACTTCAATAAGTACATGAGCATTTTCTCCCTTTTCTATGCTTATTTTGAGTAGAAAGAATTGAATACTATGTCAAGTGAATGCTTATAAGTAGGCGTATATATTTATAAGCCGGCTCTGAAGCTCACCCAGCCTCCTAGGCAGTGGGTGCCGGGCGCTCTTTCCTTGCGGATAAAGCGACCAGACCGTGAATCTGACCGCGCTCATCTCTATCTAGTGCCGAGGTTAAATTGAGGAGCTATGCATCCATTCCTTC